GCCTGTGTGTGCTTTTTAAGGAGTCGCACCCAGTATGCACTCCTAATCTGTGGGATGTAATAGTGATGAGCATTTGGACAATAATAAAGCGTTTGTAAAGTAGTGATTAAAGTCAACTCTGGGCTCATATCTCGACATGTCAGTAATAAGTGTAGTAAAACTTGTGTTAGCTCTGGCACTACCATTTGTCGGATGTCGGACCATCTTCTTTCTAACTAGGTGGGCTATAAGTACTGGTAATAAGGGACAACAGGGTTGCTGAGACTGCAATAGGCTTAAAGGCTTGGGCTAAGCTTTGAGGACTCGACTGCACTATAAAAGCCAATCAAGTCTAAACTACAAGACTCGACTGCATGAATTAAGGGGTACATTAGTGTAAAAACTGGGTAATGAAGTGACAGCCAATTAGAGTTTAAGGTAAGGCAGGTTGGAATTATGTGTAGCTAATGAAGCAATTTTACTGCTGCTGTTCGGAGAACTAGGCTATAAGCATCCTATAGGTGCCCACAGTTATGACCACGACGACAACATTAGGCCATTGGCTGGCCGTGTTTAAACTGTCAAACTCTAGCGCACTGTGGTAGTTTCAAAGAAATGAACGCTTTGTACAGAGAGGCGTACTATTAAATGCCGCTGGTATGAGATTTCTGGATTCAACTTTACTCCCTCTTTCATAAACTAGTCGGCTGCCCGACTGTGCTTAATCACAGAGGCTGACAAACCTGCATGGACCCGTCTACACGATTTTCACCCAAGTTGGTCAGGCTGCAGGTGGCAACAAATAACATTCTTTCTACGGACTAAAATAGTGGACGTTTTTTTCCACGTATCAGGCGACTTGAGTTGTTTCTTGCGGCGAGACCGATGTGGTGTGATCGCAGTTGAGCCAGTTTTCACTCGAGTCCGCATTGCTGGCGAAGTGGTTGATGGTTGACATTGCAGTTGGTGGCAAGATGTCGGGAGTGAGCTTTTCGTTGACAAAGGTTATGGTGATAATGGTTGACTTCGGTGCGAAGGTTGTGTTATTGGTAGCGTAGATAGTGGTGACCGGGTGCTCATCAGAAGTTCTTTTCGTCTGTGGGTTTAACGTTGCCGTGGCACTCCTGAATAGGGCGGTCAGGGTGATTATAGAGGCATTCTCGAAAGTGGGAGATAAAACAGTTGTGCTCTTATTTGATTGGGTCTTGAGCTGCCCTACGATATCCATCTATCCGCGGAATGTCCAGGGACAGGCTTTTCACGTCAGTACGGACTGACTGCTAGTCATCAAGCACTTTCTGTTCTGTAACCTGCCATCCTATCACCAGTGAAAATGAATACTCCAGGCTAAACGGTTGTTCTTCTGCTGCTTAATCCTGTGCGAAGTTACACAGACTTATAAATTTTACTTGTTTTGCAAAAACCATCTTTTTATATATTACTTATTATTAACTTAATTGTGACTACCACCATGTAATTCCGTTTCTATTAACTGACCAAATGCATTCGTTTCTTGTGTGTACTCTTTCGTAGACTTCCCATCCCATACTGTTACTTGTATCCGTATTTCTATCACATTCGATCTTACTTTTGTAGATGAGTCCTCGCATGGCCAGGAGACTAGATAGGAGTGTTTGCCCATTCACAAGAAGAGGATGCGATCACTGGAACAAGAGTTTTATTAGTCTGACGTTTAGGATTCCGTCGGGAATCCTTAATCATTGGTGATGGTAACATAGTCATGGCCATGCGCAGATAGGGCTAAAACATGCACAGACTGCACGCTTTTTAGAGTTCATAGTGGACATCCACGTGTGTATGATAATAATTCACTTCTGTAGTCACCGCTTGGGTCTTAACTGATGCGGTACTGGTTTGACACTTCGCGTTCGACTCACTAACTGCCACAATTGCCTTGTCAGCGTCGGATGCGGGCCTGATAATTGCGTGATAATTATGCCCCCTGTCGTAAGAGTTGTTGCTGCATTGACTACTTTTGGCTGAAGCATTATTCCAGTATGTTGATAAAGCAGCTGAGGAGGGTAAAAAGTTATCACTTTTTGATTTCAACATTTATAGCCGGGTCACGTAAGTAAAAAAGAACACCACTTAGTGCATAAAATGCTAATGGCTTTTGTCGTATCCGTGGGACACAAAAGCTTTTCTCTCAGCTCGATCTTCTAGGGAAATTTCGTTTCACAGTGTAAATAGGTCTAAACAATGCTGTATGTAATATTTATTTTTCAGGATTTCTTATATCTCAAATGACTCATGACACTATGAATACTATCATACGATTTTATACAGAACAAGTATTAAAAGGAACATATGTAATTAATGGAACAAGGAGTTTATTGACATGACGTTTCGGATTCCCATTTGAATCCAGTAGCAGACATAATTGCAGAAACAAGTAATAAAATCACAACGTGCGCAGTATTTATTTCCGTATTTATCACGAGACAACACGCGTTCTACAATAAGCAGCTCTCGTGATAACCGCTGCGCGTCGTGATTGATGCGATGAGGACTTTGACCTCCCAGTCGTTAATTACTGCAAGTTCACAATTGGTTTTTGATGGTAGCGCGATAATTAGGCGGCCATTTTATTTAGGGTACTTAAAAATTGTGGGTCACCCGCGCCCTCCCCACGTGACAGATTTTGGTGCTCGGGCAAAGTCTCAGTAGAGAATATAGGAACAGTGGAGCTGAGAACAAGGAGTGGGAAAGCCCACGCCTCACAGAGTTGTGATCCCCTGCGGGAAATTCGTGGTATTTAAACTTGAAAAAGTTGCAAATTGGACGGCTACTCTGTCTGTTGTTTTGGACACCACGGCCAAGTTGTCACCACATTTTTAGAGAAATTTAAAGAGGTAATCCTCTTGCCAAACCACGTAATGGTATATATGTATAGATATCACATCCATTTTCACGTTAATTGCGCAGGACCTGTTGTCAAGACCATCGAATTACTCGTACCTCTCGAATACAATAAAACGGGAAATCGCCTTGCCCACGTCCAAGTCCTCGAGCTCCTGAAACTCTGTCTAAAGCAACACGTTACCTTCGGCGGAACAATCTTCGAGCAGGTAAAGTACCTGCACATGTGTTCGCCAATTTCCGAAATCATAGACGGGACTGTCCTACAATAACCAGAGCCGTGCACTGCTGGACCTGCCTGACAGGACAGGACTGCCTGCGATCGGATCCGAGGTTTCAAAGCCTGGAGGTCTATGGTTGATGGACAAATGCACGCCAATTCCACATAATACGTTCCACAAAGATCAGTTGTACGGGATTTAAAGAGAGCTAAAATTGTCCAACCATAAAAATGGATAGGATTAGCAAAAGGGAATCTCGCTGCTCCAAACGACCCGGAAGACCCTTGCCTACAAGCTTTAAATCATCTCAAAGTACACTCGAAGCAAACTCCTCTCCGTTAAAGTTGGTGTGGTATTTATAGGAGAACTCGAAAGATAAAGATCATCTTTACAGACTGCCATCTACAGAATCTGTGTGAAGTAAGGGGAGCCACCAAACGAAATCCGTCGTGGATTCTTCATCGGACACAATAGTATAAACGGGTGATTCCAACACAGGGAATTGCAGTATTTAAGCTATACAGTCATTAGGCAACTGCATACACGGAAATTAGTGGCTCCCCTATCGAGGATAATGGCTTGCTTGTGCGTTAAGTGCTTGATGGCCGATGTGCGGGCTGCGACTTGTTGAACTTTTTTCATCTGTGTTACACTTGAGCATGATGGCTGATTTGGCTCCCTGGCGCTTGCGTTAGACGACCTGTTCGCCTGTGCGTTACCTGAAGTGCGAATTGCTTTGACTAAAGTGGGCTTGAGCAATGAGTAAGGATTGGGCCGCTCGTCGCATTTCTTTATGGACTGAGGGCCCGTCAACCGTCACTGAAGTAACCCGCGACTCAGACAACTGTCACCTGTCGCGAGATTGTCGGCCTCATCAACTTTGAATGGGAGGCCGGGTATCGTCGCATACGCCACATTTTGGGGAATTGACGCCATTTCTTCATATGGCTGCCAGGTATCTGGCAAATGGCGTCATGAGATGTCTTTTAGTTTCTCTGTCGTAGTTGTTTTGATCAAAACTGCCCCAGGTCCTATAGACGACTCCACGTGCTTCTTGTTGTGACAATGGGCCTTTAAGGCAAAAAAGTTTAGAAGGGGAATGTGCAAACAGGGAGCCGGGGCTACCACGGCAGGGTTAGATTCACCACATGCAAGTACATAGGGCGAACAAAAAAGGCAACTGGCAGCCAGAGCTAAGGAGGACTTGCCGAGTTGGCTATTAAAACAGGAGAATAGAACTTCTCGTTCTTCCGCTGCGGAACACCTATTGGATACGGGCCTTTCTGTTGACCCCAAAACATCTTCCCGAGTACTTGTTCGGGCACGGACAACTCGTATCTTACGCTACCTGGAGGCAGCATACATACGACGGTTTAAACCTGACCTATGTAAGCAAATAGGCCTTTAATTTCACTAGCTGACGCCTTATCATACAGATTTTTACACAGGTTTATATTCATGCTACGTCAGCTGAGGCCAGAAAAAACTAAATGAAACTACAAGGTTTTTCTGCCATATATCAAGTGTCATTAATGAAATCGAAGAGTTTTGGCTAGTAGAAACGATCTGGTGGGCTAATAAAGTATGATGCTAATTTTTCAGAAAATATATGTATATAAATTTATCAAGAAAGTAAATCTTGGTCATTTCTTTCGCAAATATTTTGGACATCTAAAGAGCAGCTGACTTTTTAAGGAGTGTAAATATATTGCCAAATAATACTATATTTACCGCCTGCAATATAGAGATTGCTTGAGTTTACGCCACTTAAAGTGCACAAAACATATAATATTGAGAAAGAAAAAAATGCGAGCACTGGGACAAGACTTTTGTATGCCTGACTTTTCGGAGTCCGTTGCGGATTCTTCATCGAATACATAAGCATAAACTCTAGCAGTAACTATAGTATTGCGTCTGTTTGATGAGAATTAAATTGTAATGTTTTTCATGTTCTTTGAACTATGCTGTGCATGTTCTTATTTGTATTCAGTAAATTTTATATTAGTCAGCAAATGATTACAAATGCATCAAAACGACTAAATGTGCATTTTGTATGTCAAGCGCACGTAGAAGCCCACGTGCCTCATTAGTAGTTAGCAAAATCAAATTTCGTTTCGGGTTCCATTTCTAAGAATCCTTAATACGGTCCAAGAGCAATTCACTACACTAAATGAAGCTAAAGACTGAACATATGAGTTCCTAACTCATATTGGAGACTTGGTAAAATGTCAATTAAATGAGCGTTCAAGATTTAGAAATGTAAACAATGCAAACATAGTAGCAATTGTAATTTATGTTGCGATTTCTCTGTTGAATGGATACCGAATGTAACTTACAGTTGCCTTAAGCACTAGCAAAGTAAATTTAATCTGCAAGATACTAATAGCTTTGTTGTTCTAAACATATTTATTCGCACAATGTTGTTGATTCTTCACAGCTGATGGTACGAAAACAGATGGTTCTGACTACTTGTTAGCGGGGGCTAAGCTGCATTTGCGCCTAATATACTTAAACCAAATCACTCAGTTTTCAGGTGACTGCTTTGATAACATTGAAATGCTTAACTTTCTAGGGTCTTCAATGGAAGGCCATTATTATTTGTTGTTCTCCAAAATAAAAACGATTCCTTTTTATGATGTTTATTGCCGACAATTGGCTGAATCTACTAGTCCTTAGGGGGTGAGAAAATGGAAATTAAAGCGGTGACGGCAATATATATTTAACCGATGACCGACTAGTCAACGAAAAACTGCATCTAAATTAGCAGGATCAGGGAGGACCGATCGCCGTAAATTATATAGAGAAATATATCGTAGGAAGCAGGAAACCCCACTTCCTTTAAATAATTCGGACAATAACGTTTCAGCGTCAAACAAGATCTTAAAAGAGACTAGGCTTTCCCACAAGATAAGTGTAATGATGCTTTTCTCGATATTAAAGGCAGATCAAAAAAATTATCAGTCTGCCAGAGAAGGGTATTAAAACCTAAGGGTATTTTCTTCAACAACGTTTATAAATGAGTGGAATTCGTCGCTGTCACTAAATATAAAGCAGTAAATTTGCAGCTTTTTGGAAACAGAAACATCAGCAAAAATGTACTGTCATTTGAGGTAAAAAAGGTCTGTTT